AATATAATATACGGAGTATGTATTTATAAGTAGATAAATAATATAAGTAGATATATAATATATTGGAGAATAAGAGAATTTGAGAAGATGAAGATGAAGATAATTAGAGAGTAGAGAGTAGGATTTAGGAAGAGTTGGAGAAGAGATATGAAAAAATATTTAAGATTAGGAGTATTTATGGTTTTTTTACCCCACCCCCACCACCAAACTGCCCGCACCCCCCTGCCAGCCCACCCAACGGCTGTATAGCCGTTTGGGTAGTCCCAGCACAGCCTAACGACTCTTTTGGCCCAAAAAAAAAAAAGACCGTTGTGACCCGGACCCGGGAACGGCCGGGTCACGTTTTGCCAAAACCGAGACCACCCCCCGCTGCCCCCCCCCCCCCCCCCCCGGTTCGGGTCTACACCCGGTTTCGGACCGCCAAACCGGGCCGGTTCCGGGCCGACACAGTAGCTGGTTGGGTGGCCCGAACCGAATCCACCCCTAAATATAAGGCCTTTTTTTATTAATATTACTAAAATGAACAGAAAAGACAAAAATATGAAATCTTTTAAAAATTTCCAAATGTATAACTAACAGTCATTCATTTATCCTTATATGTAGAATTTAGTATACTAGTACTAAATATTTCTTTTATATGATTTGAGTAGCCACCAGCACAACCGCTGACCCCAGCACCATCAGGCCATCACCGGCACTGCCCCGCCGCCACCGGTACCGTCATCATCGTCGTTGCCGTCGCTACCGATACAGTCGTCGCCGGTGCCGGCGCCGCCTGAACTGACTTAGTGACTTCCAGTCACTAACTAGTGACTGCCGCCCAACTCCGGTCACTAATCTAGTTACTTCCACCCTACTCCGGTCACTGACTCAGTGACTTCCACCCAAATCTGAACACCGGTGACGGACACACCGCCGGTGACTTCTGTCACCAAACACCCCAACTCTGCCCCGCCAGTCCATCCAGATCAAAACCCCACCCTCACACCTAAGCCCCAACTTCCGACCCAAGCCCCCAACCGCGCTACCTTCTGTAAGCGCAGCCGCCAGCTCGTCGCTGCCCCCCTCACCCAAGCTTTATTGACCACCAAAATCACAGATCTGTTCAACGCCGTCTCTCGCCTGGCCATTGTCTCCTAGCCGACGCTCGTTTGACCGTCGTAACCTAACCGTCGCTCACAGAATACGGAGCGCAGCCATTGATGACGATGTCTGATCTTCGAGAAGCAGCGACGAAAAAGAATGAGAAGAAGAAGAGTTGTTGTGGATCGGCAGGGCGGTGGCTAGAGTGCGATGGAGCGGCGAGGCATCAACGGCTGGAGTGCGGTGGAGTGGCAGGGCGTCAGCGGCCGAGTGCAGTGGAGCGTCACCGGCTGGAGCGTCACCGGCTGGAGTGCACTGGAGCGCCGGTGGTTGGTCTTGGATGAGAGAGACGAAGCTTAGCTTGAGTCTCAAATGAAGAAGATAAGAAATGAAGAAGTTCAGTCTCAAATGATAAAATGGGCCATAGTTTTGGAAATGCAAAGTCAAATAGTAATTTTCATGCCATTCTTTCTAAATATAATGAGGTGAATGTAAACATTCTTTTTTTAAATCTGCGTCGCATACATAATAATCAACGAAGTTTCATTTGTTACTGATTTCATCTGTTTAATGAAACTACTGATTCATTAATAAGACTCAAAAGAGCAATTATTTTCTTAAATACAGGATATAAATACAATGTACTTTAATATATATAATCCCATTTAAATACTGCGTATATAAATGGCTGACAAGCTTGTCTTGATCATAATTTCAATGAAGCAACAAGTTTTTATACAAATGAAGCATCATATCGGTATATGCATCGGTGTGTGTTAGTATATATGCATCCTAAATAACGAAATATTTCTACTCATGCTATATATGCATACCATCATTGAGAAACAGTAGATCTCAAGCTTTGGTTGAAGGAGCACAGAGTTCCCCTATTGATAGCCATAATAAAGCTTTGAGTTTTGCTAGAGGTACCCCAAAATGTACCGCATTTTAACCTCACACCATAATGTGTGGCCATAAATGAGGCAATTCATTTAAGTGGTGCTCCACTTAAATGAATTGTCTCATTTATGACCACACATTAGGGGTGAAGTAAAAATGAAGTACACTTTGGAGTACCTTTAGCATTTGTGTAAAGCTTTTATGACAAGTGCAATAGCATAATTTTGACTACACTCCTGCACAACCTTAACCTTAATGGTTATTTTGCTTGTCATTAGGGATGGACTAAACCGGCCCGGCCCGCTGCTGTGCGGGCCCAGACCGGATCGGGACCGGTTGGCCGGTTCCGGGCTTTTAGCCCGTTTGGGTGGGTCAGGCGGGCCGGGCTCGAGCACAGTTTTGGGCGAACCGGCCCGAGCGGTTCGGGCCGGGGCCGGGTCAATTTCTTTTTTTTTTTTGTTTTTTCAACTTTTTTTCTTTTCCTAGGGTAGGGCTGGGTGTTTTGGGAAGGTTTGGGGGGGGGGTCGGGGGATAACAAGAAAGCAAAAAAAAAATAGACATTGAACCAGGCCCGGCCCGGTTAGGCACGGACCCGGTATCAACCCGGGCCGGTTCCGGGCCCAAGGATTTGCAAAAAAAGCCCGTCCGGGCCCGGCTCGGAACCGGACCGGTCCGGGTCCATCCCTACTTGTCATTATTGGGGGCACTTTCATGTAGTAACATTTTTTCCTACCCAAATTTCTTTTAACTAGTCCATTTTTATAGATTATAGATAGATATCCACTGCTAGACGATGGAGTTTTAGTATGATACGTAGATAGATATCCAATTCGCTATCCATAACATACATATTTTAGGGATAATGAAAAATAAAGGATCTCTCAAGATTTCTAGATGATCTGAAATGTTTTCACTTGGACTTTCTGTATAAAACAAAACAAACCAAACCAAATTTAAATAGGGATGGACCCGGGCCGAGCCCAGGCTGGCTTTTTTTGCAAATCCTTGGGCCCGGAACCGGCCCGGGTTGATACCGGGTCCGGGCCGGGCCGGGCCCGGTTCAATGTCTTTTTTTTTTTTGCTTTCTTGTTATCTCCCGACCCCCCCCCCCCCCCACCCCCACCCCCAAACCTCCCCAAAACTAGGGGTGGGCGCGGTCTGGAGACTGGAATGGTCCGGTAAATTGGTAAAACCCGTAATGTATCCGTAAGGTTTTTAACGGTCCGGTACGGTCCGGTTCCAAGGATAGAATCGTTCGGTACCATATCATTTCGGAACGGTACAAAACGGTACGGTACAATACCAAACACATGCTAAAATATTTGAACAAATCTTGCAATTAGTAGATATCATCACACCAATCAACTTGCATGAAATGTTGAAATAAATACAAGAAATTGCATACATAGTACTAAAATTCACAAATATACAAATAGTGCAACACAACTAAGAAAAGATATAGCAAAACGATGACGCACGAGATAAATATCATTTTTAATTTACTAAGTTAATGTGAAAATAAAAATGAATATCATCAAATTGTTGAATATAATAGAAATCTTCAACGTTCTTCTTCTTCGTTCTAGTTTAAATATTACTCTGTAGTAGGAGTGGACTCGGGCCCGGTTCGGGCCTGGGCCCGGCCGGGCCTCAGTTCAAGAAGGGGAGGCCCGGAACCGGCCCGGGTAACCCCCGGGTCCGGGCCGGGCCGGGCCTCGGGTATATTTTTTTTTGGGCTTTTCCTAGTTAACCCCCACCCCTCCCCCTCACCCCCAAACCAACCCTAACCACCTAAAATGGCCCAAAATAACCAGCCCAACCCAAAAACTCAAAAAAATCAAAAAAAAAATTAAAAATGGCCCGGCCCGGGCCCGAACCGGCCGGGCCGGTTCACCTTTTGAAGGGCCCGAGCCCGAACCGAGAATCCACCGGGCCAGGTGGCCCGAACCGCCCAACGAACCGGTTCCCGGGCCGGTCCGGGCCCGCACAGTGGCGGGCCGGTCCGGTTCCGGGCCGGTTGGCCCGGCCCGAGTCCACTCCTACTCTGTAGTTCTAATTTAATTTATAGTTGAACCTTGAGAGCTAAGATTAAAACCATATTATTATAAAAAAATATTTATAAAAAATTCAAATGCATTATTTATGAACGATTCGGTCCGGTATTTTTCGGTTCTCAAAATCTAGGACCGATCCCGTACCCAGAGTTGGGCTCGGGCCGGGCCACCGGCCCGGAACCGGACCGGCCCGCTACTGTGCAGGTCCGGTCCGGCCCGACCCGATGAACCGGTTGGTTGGCCGATCCGGCCACCCGGCCCGGTGGGATGGCAGTTCGGGCTTGGGCCCTTCAAAAGGTGAACCGGCCCAACCGGTTCGAGCCCGGGTCGGGCCAATTTATTATTTATTTTTTTTGAATTTTTTTTAAGTTTTTGGGTTGGGCTGGGTATTTTGGGCCATTTGAGGTGGTTTGGGTTGGTTTGGGGGGGAGGGGGAGGGTTGGGGATTAACTAGGAAAAACCAAAAAAAAAAATAGAACCGAGGCCCGGCCCGGACCCGAGGGTTACCCGGGCCAGTTCCGGGCCTCCCCTTCATGAACCGAGGCCCGGCCCGGCCCGAACCGGAACCGGTCCATCCCTAGTACCGTACCCGTTTCAAACGATACGATTTCGGTACGGGATAAAAATCTATAGAACCATTTAAATACCCGGCATTCGGTTCGGTACCATTACGGGACGATTCGGTACCGGTTCAGTTTGGGTTTTATGCCCACCCCTACCCAAAACACCCAGCCCTACCCTAGGAAAAGAAAAAAATTTGACAACAAAAAAATGACCCGGGCCGGTTCGCCCAAAACTGGGCCCGAGCCCGGCCCGCCCGACCAGCCCAAACGGGCTAAAAGCCCAGAACCGGCCAACCGGGCCCGCACAGTAGCGGGCCGGTTCCGGTTGAGTCCATCCCTAAATTTAATTAACTAGACAATACGAGATCCGAAAATTTATTCCAAGCGAAAACATCTGAGGGAAAATATGAATAATAAAACTAAAACAATCCAAATCCAACAAAAAAGTGTACTTTGAATTTTGAAACAACCAACAAAAGACAAATTCCGCTGAGAAATGGAGTATTTCTTAAACTTGCACACAATATTGGCATAGCTAGCTACGCTCATGACTACATGACATATATACATTTTTTTTTGTGCATTTATTGAGTATTGAAAAACTATCTTACTTTTCAACACTTGATAAATGAGTGTCCTACAAAACTCGTGTTTCCCTATTCTACTCTTTATCCTATACAGGCTTACAGCCGACACGCACTAGACACAGCAATTTATCGTGCTATACCCAATTACAGTTTTCAAGGAAAAATGAATAAATAATACACACTTTTGGGGGGCGTTTGGTACTATATCTACGGAATCTGGTTTCACCTCCCCATGAAAATCACTTTCCTACTCACTTTGGACAAATGAGATACCAAACAATAGAATACTTTTCCTCCCAATTATTTTCCATGGAAAGTATTCACTTTTCCTCATGCGAAATGCCTCCTATACTCACTCCTACAGGCAGCATTATCTCACATCCCAGATCATACCATCTTGAACTTGAACTAGAATGGATAAGCAGTTCAAACAATTACAGCAAATCTGCAAATCAATTTTAAGATCTCTGACAAATATTAAACTTCCCGCAAACTAAACTAAAATAAAATAAAATAAGAGCCAAATAAGACCTTTAACTAGTGGGAAATTTCACAGTTGGAACAGTGAACTGGCACAAATAAATATAACTCACTGGTTGTGCCGTTAAAACATTGTGGAATTCTTTAATTCACTAAGTGCCAAAAATCCCTTTCAGAAAGGTTTTGGATAGTAACCAAACCGGTGCTACACCCTTCACCTAGAAGCTTATGGGAAGAAATAAACGGAATATAAAATCAAAACCAAACATTCCCGCTATGTCCCATTGTGGATCGTTGCGCTTACCACTACACTAAAAGCAATCGCTGATAGTGTAGCACGCTTCTCCCCCTTTATAGCACAAGCGAAGCGCCACGCGGTTCGATTGCACCGGCAGGCTGTCAGATTGCTGGCACCGCATACCCGCGGCCCAACACCCATTCTGAGGAAAAAATCAGCATTACTATTTTATCCATTTCAGCTGAGAAATAAATTTAGAGACTCCAATTGTACTAAATCAATAGAGAAATGTGAGACATTGTTCTTGAATCGGGCTAGGCAGCGGTCGACCACCCTGATTTCATCCTAGTTGGTAAAATAATTTGGCTGGCTAGACGGGTGCCTATACAGCCCCATGGACCGCTTCATTTTCAATCCAACTTATTGTTCACGCAGTCTAAATGAAATCATTTGATCATTCACTATTTTATTTCTATTAAATTTCATTTTAGTATTTCTACAATAAAAGCATAACTTTTCAGTATATGTGAATTATCTGAATGACTAAAAAATAAGAACATTTTATTTTAACAATGCTTTACTAAAAATATACTCCCTCCGTTCCTTAATTAACTTTACATTTTCCTTTTCGGGCCGTCCCATATTAAACTTTACACTTCCTTATTTGCCTTATTTGGCAAACAAATTTACACCAAACAGTACAAAACAGTGTTAAACAGTGTCAAAAAGTGTCAAACAGTGTATTCTATAGTAAAGTCAAATTTATTTCCTTAATGTGTGTGAAGTCAAATGTAAAGTTTAATAAGGACCTAGGCACCTGCTTATATGGGCTTCGTGCAAGGCGGTCTGCCGCCCCCTAAGATGCGTCAATCGCCTTTTAGAACATTGGTGTGATCTAAGTGGTAGCAAACAGATAAGTTAAAGGAATGCAAATTTCCTACCGTCCAAACTCTGAAGTGACAAAAGCATTCTTTAGTTCAGCAAACTATAATTTTGTTATCACGGCAAGTGAAAATAGCTTACCACACTTTGCTACTGGATTGTGTAAGGATATATTTTTCAGGCATATAGCTTTCGGGCATCTTGTCTCTTCAATCTTCACTACCAAGATACCTGGACGTGTAGGCAGTAGGGGGAAGTAATCAACACAAGAGAGCAGCAACAACAACAACCTTACCCCAGTGCTGCAAAAGCCTTACCCCTGTACTAAAGTACAAAGAGACTGTTTCCGGATGACCCGTGATGAAAATCGCGTTGAAAATTGCATGGACTTACTGCTAGTCTGCTACTTCAAAATTGTGTTTCTTTATCTATTTGGACAGCGTGAATATGGAATTAGTTATCAGATAAACAAACCAAAACAAAGCAAACTATATTCTTTAAATCCAAAATAAGTACTCTGAAAAAGTATAACTTATTGCACCAGAACAAAGAATACTACTAAACCTAAGGTAGCCTGAGCCTAACAACAAGTATGGAGTCAACAAAAAACATTGATGTTTATCACACACTGTTAATAAAATTAGTTTGATCCAACTGGCTTGTGAATAAGTTGGTCTATTCCAAGTAGGAACATCATGGTGAATAAGTTGATCTCTTCCAACTGAATTGAAGATTTATTTGCACAATGTTAATAAATATAGTTTTAGCCAACTGACTTGTGATGTGTGAATACGTTGGTCTCGTCTAAGTGAAATATGATGGTGGAAAGGCATCATATTTGTGCTGATCTGTTCAGAAAATCTATGTCTTGTACAAAAGTGTTAGACCACTGAGAAGGCGAGGAGACATCAAAATTCTTCTGAAGTTACAAATTGCTGGGGTACCACAAACTGAAGTGCGAGCTGGCCAGTTTTTCTTATCCACAGGTTTCCATCAGCATGACACTTCAGACAACTTGATAACCACCTTTGTATTTAGAAGAACAACCTTCTTAGCAGAATAACTGGTAGCCTGTTTACAGATAGCTCAGCACATCAGCACTTGATATGCTGTAATATTACAATATTTGGTTTATTACTTAGATATTTGTTTCTTTATTTGCTTTTATAGCATCAATTAGGAGTTTCGAATCAACTAGGAAATTTTGTAAAGGGCTACCAAACATAATAGGTTGTTGTATTTTAATTTCAGCAGGTACCAGAGTGTCTTGATTCTGTGGGCTCTGCTTCTGCCATCCTCAGCAAAAAAAAAAACTAGCCAATATTACTACAGTACCTTTTTCCTGCCTCGTGGTCGAGTTGCTTTGCCGAATCCAATGTTCCCTCTTGACACCAGTACACCACTTTTACCACTCCGCATTCACGCCCAGCCTCCATCACTGGCCACTTCCACAGTCATGGTCATTTTTTCCACTGTCACTTCGACAAACCCTAGAAAGGAAAGGTTTTAGACCGAGTCAAAGCAAGACCCAGTATATAGAGTGCAAGTTTAGTTGTGATAGAAGCAATGGTAATAGTCGGATTACCTTGGATGCTAAAGAGATCCCAATCAGTAATATGTTATATTACGTGGGCTCCAAAATTCAGAAGGATGTTGAATTAGATGAAGATGCATCTGCATAGAATCAAAACAAGATGAGTAAAATGGAAGAGTGTGTCACGATTTATAGGTGTCCGAGTTATGCCAACTAAACTGAAGGGTTAGTTTTATCGAACAACATCTAAACTTGCATTATTATATGGCGTAGAGTGTTGGGTGGTGAAACAATGTCACATTCAAAAAATGAAAGTGGTTGAGATGCTTATGTTGTGTTCCATGTGTGGAAATTCCATAAAAGACCATTTGCGAAACAATCAGGCAAAAAGTGGAAGCTACACCTATTGAAGATAAGATGAAAGAGTCTTGATTCCAGTGGTTTGACAATGATGTACATGTTAGATGAATTGAATGGTTGGGAGAGGAGGCAAGGAGTGGGAGGGGACGACCTAGACAGACGTGGATTAGAGTGGTGAAGAATGATATTGTACTTTTTGGGTTAGATGAAATATGTATTTTGAGAGAGTAGAGTGGAGGGAGAGTATACGTTTGAAGGATTGGTCTGGTCTTGTTTGTCTTTCTTTTCTGTCTATTTGTTACTCCCTCTGTCCCTTAAAACTTGGTTAAGTTTGACCGGCACGGGATTAATAAAGTAGAAACTGTGCGGTTGAAGTTTGTGCACAGAAGAGAGAACTAGAATCACAAATTCTTTACTTAAAAGAAAAAGTGACAAAGTTAGTGAGACAATAAAAAGGAAAGTTGGCAAAATTTTAAGGGACGGAGAGAGAATTATTTATTCGATTTAGGTTTAAATATGGTTTTAGTCCCTGTAAATATGACACACTTTGTATTGGATCCCTGCAAAACAACTCTACTTAAAAAAAAATTATTGTAAGCTGAATAAATTTACTACAAAAATTTAAATTTATCATTTTGTATTTTTTAGAAGCTAATATGAGGGTTAAAACAATATAAAACTAATTATTCACATTTTTAAAATATGTATTGAAAACATTGTAAAAAATGAAATTAAATACTTTTTGAATGACATGACAAAGAATTAGAGGAAACCTATTAGTCGGGGTTATTTCATTGTCAAATGGATGTTGTTATCATTAGTCATGGACTAAAAAGAAAACCAACATAAATTTCAAGGATGAAAAACAAAGAAAATATTTTGCATGGGCCTAAAACAAAGTGTGCCATATTTGCAAGGACTAAAAACATATTTAAGCCTTCTATTTGTTGTTTATAATTTCGATGTCAGATGTTGTCTCATGTTAGCCGATCCAAACTCTTTTGGGATTAAGGCTTAGATGTTGTTGTGTCACTTCAACCTTTCACCCACAATGATCTTTGAATATTGCAAGGGTCATATCGGTTAGATGGGATGAAACTTCCACTAGTAGCCTAGTAGGCCCAGCTTATGTGTGCCACTCTTAGAGGACGCAAGAGGATTAGCCACATTAAAGGAATCTCATGCTGAGACAGTTCCACAATATGATGCATCATGCATGAGTTCATAAGGATTATCCCATTATGACATGGTTTTGGCACTCAATGACTAGAAATCAGCTGAAAGTATTCATTTTTCCCTACTGCTAAGGAGATCTAGAAGAATCTGGTACAGATGTATTTTATGAAGCATGACCTTTCAGAATGTAATGAATTGGAAAATAATGTTTTTAACTCTAACCAAGAAACTCTCACCGTGACTTATAATTTTGGTACTTTGAATGGTCTATGGAATGAATAGGATCAAGACTTTACTATGCTGAAAATTTCAAACTAAACTCCTTTGTTAGTCTATGTAGATTGTAAATTACATGATCATTACAGGAAATGATGAACTTGAAACTTAGAACATGAGAAAGGACTTAGCGGCCAGGTTTGGAATGAAGGACCTTGGAAAGTTGAAATATGTCCTCGGTATGGAGGTGGTACACTCAAGACAAGGCATTTGCACTTCGCAAAGAAGATATGTCCTTAATCTTCTCAAAGAGACTGGTAAGTTGGGTTCCCAAGTCACTGGAGTGACTATAGAGCTAGCATCTTACTTGCAAGAAGGGAATGATAGATATTCAATTACCAACTTGAGGGGGGGTGTTGTAATATTAGAATATTAGGCTTATTGACACGAGGTTTGTAATTATATTTGATTTCCTAGTACCAATTAGGACATTTGTATCAATTAGTGTGTGTGAGTGTTTACTTATTTGTTCAATTGTGTTGGTCCAGGCCTACAAAAAATAATATGTTGCAGTTTAATTTCAAAATATAATTAATTAATTTTTATTCCCGAGTTGGTACTTTCAACCAGCTACAATTAATTTCGTTAATGATGCAGTTCTTATGCAGTTTGGGACTAAGACTTGGATGTTGTTGTATGCAGTTTTTAACCCCATCCATGGGCCAAAATTCCTGTATAGCAGGGAAAAAATAGTTGAAGCAGGTCTCTTTCATTTATTAAATGCCAAAAAATTGATCACCATCAGTGCCTTAATTCCAACTATATGATTGTGGTGAAATGAAATTTATTGCGTCAACTAATTGTCTAACATCAGTTAACACTATTAATTCATGAAACAAATCAGTGACAGAGCTTTGTGCTGGATGCCCTGCATATTGCATAGCTCTTCAAAAACAACAATGAGATGAAATTTCAAATCTTTCATCCTTATATGCTATTTCCACTTTCATGCAAGATTTCCATAAAAATAAAAATAAGACATGCAAATTATCATCATTGCCTGAATTAGGTCAGTCTAGCCCTATAAAAGTAATAATATGTTGTATATTGATTTCAAGCAATAAATTTTATTTTTCAGGTTGATATTTCCAACCGTCGACAATTAATTTTCTTATAGACCTTTTAGCCTCATCCATGGCCTAAAAATCTTGTATAACCTCATCCATGGTCTACATATATTGTTAACTCCACTTTCAACCAAAACCTTTACAACAACAACAACAATATTACCTGAGAGTCAGAAAGGCTCCCACCTACGGTGAGGTAAGGGGAGTTGGATGTATGCAACCTTACCCTTGTACTAAAGCACAGAGAGACAGTTTCTGGATGACCCACGATGAAAATCGTGTTGAAAATTGCATGGACCGACTGCTCGTTCAAAACAATGAAGGAGCTGACAGTTTAGTGAGTCATTTTGCTTTGTTCCATCATATTCCCAAGCCAAAAAAGTGAGTCTTTGGCTCCATTGGAAATGATGGAAATCAACCAAAACCTTTGTCATCATCGTCATCATTACCCCAGTGTCGCAAAGGCTTCTCACCTACAGTGGGGTAATGGGGTCGGATGTACGCAGTCTTACCCATGTACTAAAGCAAAGGGAGATTGTTTCCAGATGACTCATAGTGAAAATCACGTCGAAAATTGCATGGACTGACTGCTGGTTCATAACAAAGAAGCGCAAACAATTTAATGAGCCATTTTGTTTAATTCCATCACATTTCTCAAGCCAGAAATAGTGAGTCTTTGACTCCATTGTAAATGATGGAGATAAGCAAGACATTTGTAAAAATAAAAATAAAAAATTATTATCACCGTCATCACCTTAATGCCAAGTCCAAACTATGCAAGTACGTAGGGCCGTAAGGGTTAGCGGTATGCTGGTATGAAATCTATATTGTCAATTAATTATTCAAAATTAGCTAACATTACAAATTCATGCAAAATGTCACATATTGTAAATGTTGCTTCACTTATGGTTACAAGCAGGCAATACCCCCATGGTAATAAACAGCAACTGTAATAAAATAGCAGTCAAATTGTCTTCCTAAAAACAGCACCGTCAAAGGTTAAAAGCTTTTAACTTTTAAGATCAAGCTAAATAAGGATGCCTATAGTGCCTATATGGTATATCACATGAAAAATACCAAATTCATGTAACAGACAATTCCTACATGGATTAGTCATTGGTGCTCAATAGAAACTTGAGAAGAGAACTAACTAAAATTTGGGACTGTTGAAAAAGCTCATTGTAAAGTAATGATTTTGATAAAATATTGATATACCATCTTTCTAAACCCATTGTCCTATTAGCCTTTTAATTTTAATTTCTAACTTGACTTCTTCAGTACCCTATAATGATTGAGTTTTCTGCACGCCAATGCAGTAATGCCTATGTTTCAAATACAAATATTCAACTATAAAACCAACCTGTGAGAAGAAGCTACATGGTAGTAAATTGAACCAAGTCCAAGGATGTCCCAACTCTAGCTATTGTCCGCTCCATCATGCATACTGAACCATGCGAAGACTGCATTGTAGAAGAAGAGTCTTCCATAATCTTCCCGGAAAAAAAGTGTGCAACCAAGGGTATTATTAACTATTATAAGCGGCTATGGGGACTTCAATATTGTTCCTATACGGAACAGTTCCTGATGCATAGCTCTTTATTCTATATGCTTCCTTAGCCAAACCAGCTTTCAAAAGGATAGATGTGAAACAGCTTGTAGTCAATTTATCCGGGGTACAGCCCAATGCAACCATCTTATTAAAAATATTAACTGCATCAGCCATTCTCCCTTTCATGCAATGCCCAAGAATGAGAATCGTAAAAGTGATCTTGTCATGACAGCATCCTTTAACCTCCATATCTGCAGCAATGGCATTGGCTTGTTCTAAATTTCCAGCCTTACATAGCCCATCAACTACCGGGTTGTATATGAATGGCTGGGGAACAATATCAGCTCTACTTTTTAATTTCTTTAAAAACTCGCAGGCTTCAGTAATTCTGTTTTTCTTACACAATGCATGGATGACAATGGAAAATGTGTATGAGTTTGGAAAAAGCTTTCTTTCTTTCATTTGATCAAAGAGCTTCAAACCATGATCTAAATCACCAGATTGACAATGTCCATTGATCAGAGAAGTGAAGGTGATGACATCAGGAAGGCATCCAACAAGACTCATCCTCTCATGAATCTTTAAAGCGGAAACCATATCTCCAATCTTGCCAAACCCGTTTATTAAAATATTGAAGGTAACCAAGGTTGGTCGAATCCCAAAAGAAATCATTTCTTCCATTATATTGACCGCCTCAACCATTCGACCCAACTTACAGTAACCTGAAATAACAGATGTATATGTCACAACATCTGGGGAGAATCGACCAAGTAAATGTATTTCTCTCACTAAACTTTGAGCTCTATCTACATCACCAGCACTGGAAAATCCATTTATGAGAGTGTTATATGTAACAAGATCGGGAAGACAGCCAAAATTCTCCATGCCCGTTAAAAATGGAAAAGCTCTATCAACCATTCCAGACACGCACAACCCTCGGATGACAATGTTAAATGTGAAAGTATCCAAACAAAAAATCTTAGACCTCAAAATATAATCTATAAAGAAACTAACAGCCTCCTCCACCCTCTTTTTCTTCATCAACAAACTCAAAAACTTACTGTGCAGAAAATGGCAAATATTTCCACATTTCTCATTACTCACATGAGATTCAGAAATCAAAATCTCTTTGGCAACTTCAATGCTGCCTGCATTTGCAAGTGTCAATACTACAAATTCTACAATTGACCTGTCTGGGAAATACCCATCTGTTCTCATGTGATTAAACAATAACCTAACTGTATGATGGAGACCTATTTCGCAGTGAGACATAAGCAGCAATCGGAAGCTAGAAAGGGAATGGACAATATTCAAATTGAGTCTCGCGAATTGGAAGAAGCTAAATGCCAACACGGGGTTATTCAATTTACCACTAATGTGTTCGATGACGTCAAAAGCAATCAGCGAATTCAGATTTTGACGGAAATAATCACAGTCCAAGACATCAAGACTAGATGAATGGCGAACGCAAAGTATGCAAATCGCTTTGGCGAACCAAACCGCCTCAGCTCCTTCGAGGGGGGCATGAAAAGGATGGTGAGGTTCGCTGTGAGCATGACCGTAGAAGTTGCGAGAAATGGGGGCAAACTTCAATGCCCGATGAACCTGCACTCGCATTCTTTCCGAAGCACGCTGTTCTAAACCCAACTTGTATGTATAACCAGTGATCTTGGTCATGCCATTTTCGTTTAATTTTCTGAATACTGCTGGTATGTGAAGGAGGAAAGAATCTATAAAGCACTGAGCTTGGTGAGGGAGAATGGCAATGGAGGATGGGGACAGCTTTGGAGATTCTCCGACACCTAGGGCTGGCGGCCAATCCGGACGTCAACACTACAAGCTTTTTCACTCCAGAGACGGCCGTGGTTAACTTCCAACAATTGGTATGACATTCGTAGGATGCGATGCAGGGTGTATGAGTATATACTATCGTACTTCGTACAACGTATTCATTTTTTATCATAGATTTCAAAATTATAATTGCTCCAAATAAACCTAAAAATCCCTTTTTTTCGTATCAATAGTATTACGAGTACATGAAAAACAAAATCCACACCAACTAAAATACAACAACTACGACTGTAAATCCTATTATTAGACTTAGAAACGGTCACCCTTGAAAGAGCAACGCGAATCGCTAAACATGTAGCGGGCTTGACACGGTCATCCCTATTCTCATAGATTCAAACATACTTAATGACATAAAAAGGGCTGAATTCCCAAGCAAACTACAAACCTAACAACATAAACAAGAAGCCAAATGACAGAATAAAAATAATTAATAGGAAAACTCTCACGTACTCTAGCACCTCGTACAACCCATGGCGGTGGTTCAGGAGAATTTTGCATACGTCTGCTCAATAAATGAGAATAGACAATGTAGGTCTGCTCATTAAAGATTACAAAAGTACGTACCAATGGCCTATAACCAATATTCCAATCTGTAAGCATATATACCACTTCACTTGCATTAACTCCTTCCTCAGAAACTCATTTACTGAGCTCAACAACAACATACAATAGGAAACTCCAACAGAGATTTTTCAGTATAAAGTGTGACGACGACGGTTCTTACCCCACGAAGCAAAGGTATGTTTCGAACTATGATATGCATTCAATTAAGCATAGACGGAAAGAGTGAATTATGTACAATGAAAATGGTTGGTTATGAATATAATGAACATTCTTAAAATGCAAAGTGGATCATACTTTAACTAATGAGTATAGATTAAATAACAAATTTTAACTTTGTCATTAAAGATGAGATGCGGGTCAAGCTCAAATGATTCTCCAAAATGTCATGCATGTGGGAGGATGTCGGGACTGTTTTGGTTGGTGCCATGCTTTTGGTGCAAAAATTTAAATCACTTTTACTGTATGAATCCTCTAAACCCAAAAAGGTATACTGGGAGATACTTATGCAACGAATGTCAAGAATGGATACATGCAGGTCCTGAAATACCTAGAAGATCAGGTCGGATCATAACCCTGAACCAGAAGTATTTCAATGAAAAAATTTGTTAATCGTCATTTGGCTCGTACCAAATCCACCGCTAGCAGTCATCTTCATCGTTGTCATGCCTTTGCTACCATGCTCATGAAGAAATCGATCGTCCAACTCTGACTTCGATATCGTCAAGCTTGGGCAATGATTTTTGTCAATCTGCCTCAAATTCAATCCTAGCGTCGAACACGGGTAATGGGGATTCACCGGGCGGAAGAACCAAACCTTAAATCTAGTAAGGAAAAACCAAACCCTAAACCTTAAAAAGATTATAAAAAAATATTTTTAAATTAAAAAATTAAAAATAAATTTTTTTAAAAAATATAAACATAAAATAGTAAAAACCCATAAAAACAAAAAATAAATGGATACCTTTCCCACTGCCTCCCATCACCACCATCTTTGATCGGTTAAAATTCTGCTATTTTTATTAAAAATCCATTTTTCCCAAAAATGCTAAGAAATGGCATTAGTCTTCATAATGCCAAAATTCTCATTCAATCTGCTATTTTAATGGCATTACTAAAAATGTTGGCAATTTTTTTTTTATTTTTTTTAAACAAATTAATAAAAAATAGTAAAAACAAAAAAAAATTAAAAAAATGGATACATCCGATGGGTGAATATTCTTTCAATTTTTGTAAGAAATGCCATTTTTTATGAAAATGCTAAGTAAATGGCACTATTACTCATGATAATGCCAAAAAACTCATTGAATCTGCCGTTATTATGGAATTACTAAAAATGTTGTCAGATTTCCAATCGGTCATGGGACCTGGTGGTGGAAGGGTGGTAGAGGCGGCGGCTTTTTTTTAACGTTTTTAATTTTTTTAATTTTTTTTTAGAAATAGTTTTTATTTTATAATTTTTTTTATATTTTTGACATTTTTATTATGGGGTTTTTCCCTTAATATTACTAAACTAAGCCTAATTTCCAAAAAAGTAACCACATTAAAATTTAGACAAAAATGTGACTAATGCAGTGCCATTTCCGTAGTGACATTCCCGCACCTAATTTCCGCAGTGACATCTCCGTCATCACCGGCCAAAGTGACGCATTCACAGTGACACCACCGGCGGCCATAGTGACACCACCGCCGGTCGCCGGCCATAGTGACACCACCACCGGCCATAGTGACACCACCGCCGGTCACAGTGACACACCACCGGCCAAAGTGACGCATTCACAGTGACACCACTGCCGGTCATGGTGACACCTCCGGTGACCACAATGACCCCGCCGCCAGCACCGCCCTAAGATCACCACTGCACCGCTTCTTCCAGTTATTGTCGCCTAGTCCCCTTCCAAACCCCCACGAACATCAACCCATTTCAGCCCCAACCCCAGCCCAAGATAAGACCCATCCCCTCCCTGCTCAAGAGAGCTGTGACAACCGGCTACCTCCCCAGTCCCCGACCGCCAGCGATGGCAAGTGACCAGACCGTCGCCGCAGACCGTCGTCGACCGCTGGCTTGACTCCACGGCCCGTCACCTCCGAAGACCCCTCCCTAACCCCAGCCACCTTTAATCCCCCAGCCACCTCCCCATCCCCCAAGCCCCCATCCCGATCCTCAACTCCCTCATCTCATCTCCCCAGACCCATAGCACCCTCCCCCAGACCTCGCACATCAGCGACACACTACACCCCACCCAACAACGCCACACACCACCTTCCAGCCTCACCCCCCAGACAAATTCGATCTGGAAACCAGATCTGGAAATAAGAAGGAAAATCCCTAAATTCGATTTGAAATCCCAACAGAAAGGAGAAAAAGGAGAATCAAGAGTGGTGTCTTGGTAGTCGTCGCTGACTGTGCGAAGAGGAGCGCTGGATTGGAGGAGGAACGGTCAATTGGAGCACCGGAGAGGATGACGCCATTGTTGTGCGGAGAAAGAAGCCTGCGAAGAGAGAAGATGCATGCGTGCGAAGAGAAGAAAGGGCCTTCGTGCGAAGAAGAAGTTGTGCGCGAAGAAGAAGAAGAAGATGTCTGTGTGAGAAGAGAAGAAGCCTGCGTCGAAGAGGAAGAAGATTACTGCGGCGTGCCAAGAAGAAAGAAGCCTGCGTACGGGTCTGAGGAGAGATCGACGGGATCCGATGGGTCGGGAGAATTTTTTAAATCACATTTTTGTCCAATTGTAAAATAGTCATATTTTTGTACATGCAGACTCCCTAAGTAATATTATTGTCATTTTTTACTTTTTTATTATTTTTTATGATTTTATTATTAATAAGACATTTCAAAAGCTACAAGGGTATATTTGTCCAAACACACATAAATAGTCCTACTAGGAGGAATTAAAAACATGTAGTCCTATTTGTGCTCTTGGGCCACCTTTGTGACCTATTTAGGTAATTAACTCATTCAAAAAATCCAAACATTCAAACCAAAACTACTCAGACTAAAACAGAAACAATCGTTACTGAAGAACAAATAATACTGAAATAAAATCTTTCCACAAAGTTCTTCCTGCTATGGAGGTGGTTCCGGAGTAGGACGAGCTCTTGCAATATGGGTAAATGCTAACTCCACCAACGTCGGGATGGGCGACCAAGGCTTCACGATTCAGCCTTGATACAACTTCCTAGTGGCACCTCGTTCATTCGCCAACAGTATTTCCTCCGACGTAGTTGCAATCTCAAGCGTTGGAACATTTAAAATTAGTATAATATGCCGCTTCAATCCCATATTGATAGGGACGGCGGAAAATCTAAGTCCCTTCAAAGAAGAGAGATGACCGCTAGGGTTCCACTCTCTCTAGAGAGAAGAGATAGTCACGAATGTTTTCCTCTTACAACTTATTAATTTAAGAGAGTGTTTAAATATAATGCACAACAATTTGATATCAGGGTCTATAAAATTAGTGTACAAATAACATTAGTGTTTAAATATAGTATGTGGTACATTTTATTTTACGTCTCTATGAAATTATTTTTTGTTTTTTCTCTCTGAAATTTAGTTGATTTTTTAGTTCATGAATAATGATAACAATCCCGACTAATTCTTTATCATTTTTTATCTTCTAATTCTTTATCGTTTTTTTGAAAGGTTTTTAATACATATTTCTAAACTATGAATAATTAGTTTTACATTATTTTGACTCTCATATTTGCCTAAAAAAAAGTATTAAAAAAAATTAAAAGTTTTTAGTGGATTTATGTAACAGGCAATAATTTTTTTCAAAATGGAGTGATTTCGAGTTAACGATGGACTAAAAATAAATAAAAAAATCATATTACATGGATGAAAAAAACAAAAACATTTTACAGGAAGCCAAATCAAAGTGTGTCGTATTTGCTTGGATTAAAATGTATTCAAGCCTTTAAAGAGTGTATATGAATGTCAAGAAAAAATGCCAGGTATACACAAAATGTCTACATCTTTGACACACCATATAAAAGGTCTTCAATCTTTATCATACTTTATCCCCCCAGCCTTCTCTCCTCTCAGCTTTTGTCCTCCGTGTCTTCAGCCGCGTCTCCCTCCTCATCGTTTTTTTTTTGAGTTTGGAGTTACACTGCAGAAATAACATAGGACATCGTTTTGCCTGTCCTTTCATCTTCTTGAATGGAGTTAAGGAAGGATATATGCGAGTTTAGTGATGAGTTAATCTTTTGGAGAGATTGAACAAAAGACAAGGAATGTATGTGTGTAATAATGATTGGTTATAAATTAGAGTTTATGAGTAGGTATATATAGGAAAAGTCGGACCTGAACCTATGATGTGGGCCTGGCAAACCCGGCTACATAAAAGGACTGATAATATATAAAGTTAATCTAAAACACTTGAATAATAATAATAATAAACATCGTAATAATAAGCATAATAATAATAATAATAATAATAATAATAATAATAATCATAATCATCATCATCATCA